GGAACCCGTGCTTCAAAGCTTGCCTGTTATCGCCATTTGAATTTCAAAGGAATCACTGATAAGATTTTCATTCGAGTTTCCCATGCAAGAAAAAATCTGAAACTCCGACCTTTTCTCAGCGAATAGAATTACGGCTGAAGCTTACGGGACATTTTTTCCAGCGAGCAGCGCTTAGGCGTCGTAAAGAATAGCCGGTAATGCACAGAACGGCCTGAAAAATATCTTACAAGGTCCTTTGACAGTTCATTTTCTCTTAACTTTGAAGAGAAACAAACACTAGGCGACTAGTAAATGTGAACTGACACGTTAATGGATGAGCTGAAAGCAAGCCCGAGCTGAATTTACGTTAACATAAATTTAATTTTAATACTGGAATAAATTGCAAAGTTGTTGTTCAATTTGCACTTCACACGGTTACATTTAATTTGATATTCAACCTAATAACTGGTAAACAAACTTATGCAAGATTGTGCTCAACGACAGTCATCGATAATTGAAATTTCAGTAATCCTTATAATGTAATATAACTTTATTATAACAAAAAAATTATGAATTTTCACCATCAGCTGTGCACGGCAACTGGCAATCGCGTGCTCTGCGTAATTTCCTATTGAATCTCTGGCTCAGAATGTTTAGCTCAGAGGTTACTGGCTGAAAATGCTTAACTTAGAAGTCTCTATCTGGTTAAAAATTTTTAGTTCCTAGGTCTCTGACTAAGAAGGTTGAGGTCAGATATCTCTGACTCTAAGTGCGTACCTAGAATGTTGCAGACTCAAAATTTTCAGCTTTGTGGTCTCTGGCTCAAATTGTTTAGCTTTGAGGTCCCTGGACCAGAATGTTTAGCTCTGACGTTTCTAGCCCTGAATGTTTAGCTCTGATGTCTCTAATACAGTGTATTTAGTTCCGATGTCTCTGGCCCAGAATGTTCATCTCTGATGTCTCTGGCCCATAATGTTTTGCTCTGATGTTTCTGGCCCAGAATATTTAGCTATATTATGTCTTTGGCTCAGAATGTTTTGCTCTGATGTCACTGGCCAAGAAAGTTTAGTTCTGATATCTTTGGCTTAGAATGTTTAGCTCTGATGCATTTAGCCAAGAAAGTTTAGCTCTGATATCTCTGTCTCAGAATGTTTAGCTCTGATGTCTCTGGCCCAGAATGTTCATCTCTGATGTCTCTGGCCCATAAAGTTTTGCTCTGATGTCTCTGGCCCATAAAGTTTTGCTCTGTTGTCTCCGGCTCAAAATGTTCAGCTCTGATGTTTCCGGCTCGGAATGTTTGGCTCAGCAGGATCTGGCTTAGAATATTTATTCATTATGTCTCTGGCTCAAATATGCCCCATAGGTCAGGCTCTGAATATCCATCTCGTAGGTCACTGACTCAGAATGTTTAGCTCAGCAAAACCTCATTTGACTCTGGCAATCTGGTGCATCAGAGCAGCTGCTTTCTGTGTAATCTTGATGCTCCGCTCTGCGATCAAAGACCAAAAAGTGGGCCCAAAATTACGGAGCTTTGCCTTGATCTTCTATGGGATTGAACTTCAGTGGCGAGGCCTGAAAAGTAAAGCAGCGATCATTGCAGGGCAGCAAGCGAATTAGAGTCGGGAAATGCATCCAGTACTTACACTACTTGCACTACACTAGCATGTAGTGCATGTAATTTCTACTACCTAAGTATCATTTCAAGTGTCATAGGATCGGTATATGTATCATCAAATATCAAGTAAGTATCATTAGAAGATGTCGTTAATATGTATCACTAGCAAGTATCATAAGTAGCATCATTATTAAGTATCATTAGCAAGCATAATTACTAAGTTTCTACAGAAAGTATCGTAAGCATTGTAATTCTTTGGTATAATTGGGGTGGATGCTTATATTATATTATATTATATTATATTATATTATATTATATTATATTATATTATATTATATTATATTATATTATATTATATTATATTATAAATGCCAAATTAACGTGCCAAACTGGGTCAGGATAACATGCATAAGAGCAAAACTTGCATCGATTTTCAAATAATGTCACTCAATTCTCTGAGTGAAGGCAGGGAAATAGTTAAATTGTTAAACGTTAAAAATAATTGTAGCAAAAATAATGGTGATTACTATATCATAAGTAAGTAACTGTTTCTGTAGAACAAACAAAATTTACGGTACATAATTGATCAAAATTCCAACTACTTTAATAAAATTCATAGAACGCTTAGACTTCTGCCCATAAGTCGCTACACTAGGTTTACAGTCTTTCTGGGTCTGCTTGTCCACCAGATCGAAATCAGTCCCTAATCCGCATCTCTTTTCCGACTTAATAGTCGCCTGAGAGTATATGACAAGGGTTGGCCGAGGCGAGTCTTACCGAGATTGCAAGCTGCCCAGAGTCTATCCTTCAAACCCTGAGCCGTAGCGGACATAGAGAAGCTGATTTACGTGCTTCCCGAGCCCCAGACGTCACCTATTGCAAAGTCGAACAGGCGTCTAAATTTTGTTTGGGATTATTCGATCTCACCATCTATATTATTAGAAATCGCTATCTCCATAGCTAAAACTCGTTATCTCTATCGTAGAACTAGTTATCTATATTGTTGGAATTAGTTATTTCTATTGTTAGAATTCATTACCTCAATTAATAGAACTCTTATCTCTATGGTTAAAATTTGAAAACAATGATTATCACGGTCACGTTGAAGAACTTGATATGCATATACAACGTGATATATGCATACACAGTCCAATTTGTTCAAATATATCGCAGATTTTTTTTCATATTGTTGTGGATCTACCTCGTCATTCCGCGGCATTCAAGTCATATAAGTTATTTCAGCTCAGCTCATCAATTACTCGATAAGAGATTAATGCAGAAATTTTATTCTGAATCACTCTAGAGTCTGGAGTGATGGAATTTATTCATAAATTATTAATGATTATTAAATTATTAAATTTTTCATAAATTATTAATGATTATTAAATTATTAAATTATTAAATTAAATTAAATTATTAATGTAATATTACCTGAATCATCCTCATAATGCCGGTTCACGGAGCTTTGAAGTTCTCCGCATTGTGCTGTGTTGTTCCTGCAACACAAAGACAATAGCGGCCGAACAAAGGTGCCTGTGTGCTTACGATGGTGAAGTCGATATATTGCCGTTCGTATATATGATCTGTTATTGTATATTGTTATTCGTAAAGATGACATGTTATCGTATGGTATTATTCGTAAAGATGACATGTTATCGTATGGTATTATTCGTAAAGATGACATGTTATCGTATATTGTTGTTCGTTCAGATGACCTGTTATCGTATATTGTTGTTCGTTTAGATGACCTGTATCGTATATTGTTGTTCATTCAGATGATCTGTTATCGTCTATTGATGGTCGTTGAGAAGAAATGTAAGAGATGAGAAACCAGAGTCCGTTCTTCAAACCCTGAGCCGCAGCAGAAATTGAGCGGCTGATTTACGCGCTCCCCGAGTCCTGGGCGGCGCTCAATACAGATTCGAATTGCTAATGCTTTATTTTTAGCTCATAAGAAAACACTATGCATTAAACGGTGATAATAAAAACAGTGGTGCAACTTCAATCGATAACTTAATATTTTCAGAGAAACTCGACATAATCTGAGCAGTTACTCTCGGATTCATATCATTACTGAACATTTTCCTCGGAATCGTTTTATAGTTAAAAATATCCCCTCTTACCTGTGTCATAACTGAACGTTTTCCCTCTAAATTGTTCTATAGTTCCGTTATATATAATCGTTATAAAGTTTAAAGTATATAATTATAGTTATATAAAAATTTTCACATATTTTTAACAGAACTTTTTCTTAGTACTTGTGTCATATGTGAACATTTCCTCTGGTCTCGTATCATATTCGGCATTTCCCCTCGCCAGCATTTCATCTTTCCGCCGTCAAGCGAGAGCTTAATTAAAGCAATTGCACGTAATTACAGCGATCCATCTAAAGCACTTGCGGGGCACTTCACTTTCATGAGAACCCGGACTGCTTTACTGCACTCAATGCACCGCACTCAGTGCACTGTATGCACTGCACTGCACTCAATGCACTCAATGCACTGCACTCAATGCACTGCACTCAATGCACTGCACTCAGTGCACTGCACTCAATGCACTGCACTCAGTGCACTGCACTCAATGCACTGCACTCAGTGCACTGCACTCAATGTACTGCACTCAATGCACTGCACAAAGTGCTTTCAATGCACTATATGCATTACGGTTTAAGAATTGAATGCACTAGCTAATGCAAAAGATCATCACCATTAATGCATCAAGTGCACCACACTTGATGCACTGAATTTAATTCAATAAATGCATCGATGTAGACACTACATTTAGGTCACTTTGTTAGACACGGAATTCATGAGATACTTTTTCATAACACTTTAGCGGATCAAAAATGTCAGAAAAAATTTTAAGGCAAATTTCATACACTCGAATAAAGGAATTATTCTTATTGTCAAAATATTGACCACTTTCTTGTTTACAGCTCGCTCAATGGACGGACGTAGTTCTGATAAACCATTTTTTCGGGGTAAAGAAACTGCATCGGAATGATCCAGTTGCTAGCACAATAAAAATAAAACTGGGTCTGGTTGACCCATTTTTTTACCCACGCCAGGGAGAAAATGGAATCGCTAGTTGGAAAAAATCTCACTCGTTTGTCGGAGTGCTAGCTTGGATGATAAAAAAATTAGCATTTTCTCGATTATATACTACCAATCCGATCGTGAAATAAATAAATTAAATGACTTTTTCCGTGAATATTAGAATATTAAGTTCTCCATATATTCGAATCAGATCAATCACTCTTAATATATGTTTCTGTCAAGGCTTCATCGGATTTTTTTTATCCCTTCAACAATTTGGGGCAACGAGCACTCAATATTAGTTGCTAAAACCCTCTAATAGACCGACTAAGATCATATTTTAATTTAAATTCCTTATCCTTTTCTTTCAGGACGACCAGAAGACGGTAAGTAGAGTAATATCACTGGCGTCACGGTAAGTTGAGTTGACTCCACTTATAAAATTTAAATTCGAGAAAAAATCCGTTGAGTTTACCAAAATGATCGATGTAATTGCTGTTTATTTTAACGGTAAGTCAAACTTAATGAGTTAGAAAATGTTCTCATATCTTATGGAAAGCTAACGCTTTTAATTTTTAAGGACAAGAGACCTTGGTTCATAAAATACAACAGTCTTCGTAGCTGAGGAGCTACAATCATTGTGGCAGGGATCAAAAATGATGCCCATTTAGCTAATGGCAATGATTCATCAGTAGTCATCTTCAAGTTGCATTCATGAAACAGAAGCTAGTACTACTGTAAAGTTATTTGTCATACACAAAGTGAATGAATGATGTATTAATGAAATAGAAAGCTGTTTTATGGCAAAATTGTTCATATACAAAAATAACGAGCAAAATACATTAATTTTTTATTGAAGAAAACACTTGAGAAAAAACATGTTTTTGCAACGTGGCACTGTAAACCTGCAATTTCTACGAGCCATCTTCCATATTAAATAAAGTAATGAATAATTATATCATTAACCATTTATTTCCTATACACAAGCACATAAGAAGCAGATAAAAAATATTTATATGTCAGTTTCAAAAATAATTTTCAAATCCCTATTAATATAATCCGCGTTTACTAGTACAAGGCCGTGGAGCAGTTCTGTGCGGCGTCCCGGGCGGCTTGTCCAGCGGTGCCACAAGGGCCCCCGGGCCCCAGGGGCCATAAGGGGGCAAAAGGGGACAGTGGGGACCGGGGCCTACCTGGCCCGCCGGGAAACCGGGGCCATCCGGGCCTGCCGGGCCCTGGACCCGGCAAACTCCTGGGACGTCCTGGTGAGGGCCAACGTTTTTGTTAAAATTAGAAAAAAATTAGACCACAGGTGTGACTAAAAAAATCTGAATGTATATGTAAGGACTGAAATTAATTAATAATTGTGAAAAAATTAATGTCTTTATATAACTTCTCTAAATACTTCATAATTCTATTTAATTCTCTGGATAATTGTTAATAATTCATACAAAATTAGTTTATTGCAAAGTGAGATTTTCAAACTAAAAAAATCGTTGAACTCAATCAAAGGAGGGAACATCTTTAATGGCTGAGAAATAAATTATCGATTATTTCATTTGCACATACAATTGCCGGTCATTATGCTTCCTAGAGACTATTACTTTGGACAATAACGTATGAACACAATAAGAGTTTCACTTAAGTTTTGAATATCCCCATAGAAATTCATAATCAAAATATGAATTTATCGGGGGTCACTTCCAATTGAAGTCATATTAGCAATATAATTAGATATATAACAAAATTTGTCTATGCGTTACACTTTAAATTCCAGAAATTCAGATACAATGAACCTATAAAGCGCCGAATGCTAATTTAGATATAAAATGATCATTTTCCGTTATATATACAGTATATCATCCAAAGAGAGTGGATCTTTTCGCTTAAATGAATTACTTGACCGCCACTCTGAAAATTCCAAAAATCCTTTAAAATTTCAGAGTATTTCCAGCCTGTCCATTTCTAAATTAAGAACGCCGCCAATTTCTTAATTACTGAAGTCCATTTTGTCCTTTAGAGCTGTTTTGTATCCAACGTTTTCGCAGCACAGTTAACATAATTTATACCTCAGGTATAATTATCTATACCTCAATTATGATTATAAATACCTCATTTAAAATAGTTTTATCTCAATTAAGGCGATTTTTATCATAATTAAAATGATTTTACCACCACCTGAGTATTTAAATGAACCACTGTTTTACGTACTCATAGATGTCTTCATTTTCTTTAACATTAACTTGTGTGGTTAATAAATTACTGATTATACCAATTAGTCAGTTTTTAGCGCATTTTCTCATTTATGGAAAAAATGCACTATTGTGCTAGTCATGTCCGTCTGTCTGCCCGTCCGTGACTTCATGTTTTTGTCGATGAGAAGATGCGGTCTCTGTCACTCACTGCAGTGAGTACTGAGTTATATTTTTTCAAGATTCACTATTTGAGTATCGACTCACTGGGCTGGACGTATAGATAGTCCCCTTGATTGGGGCTTATTCAATACGCATAATTCATATTTTATCATTTCCTGATATTTGCGTCGCGCACGGTTCACTATCTCAGTCACTCCCAACACAATATTATACGTACCCTAAAATACTAAACTTCGATATATGTCACTATAACTGCCACACTTAAGTATACGTCAACATAACTGCCACACTTAAGTATACGTCACCATAACTGCCACACTTAAGTATACGTCACCATATCTACTTCACTTCGGTATACGTCACCATACCTACTATACTTCGGTTTACGTCACCTAAACTTCGGTATACGTCACCATAACTACTATACTTCTGTATACGTCACCATAACTACTATAACTACTTCGGTATTCGTCACAATAACTACTGCACTTCGATCATTCAATTGTCAAAAATTACGTTCTCTGCATAAACAACTACTGATGAATATTGAAATGGTGACTCTGAAAATAAATTTCGTTGCTAACAATTTCACCATTGAAAATTGTAATCTTAGGTGAATTTTTGCTTGAACTTCCAGAGATACTTCAGAAAATTGTTCAAATACTTTTATAAAACAATAATGTATTACTTGTCAAGATTGGATACAGCTCATCAACATTCAATACTACCTACCGACATTAGATTCTTCCTATCAATATTGGATATTAACTGTCATATTTGGACAAAAAACCACGTTATAGAATTTAATGATAAGAATCTGATCCCAATTTATGCATTAATGATAATTCTATATATAAAATGGAATTATATTAATATTATATATATTATATTATCTATATTATATATAGAATATAATTATAATAATTCTAAATATTCCTGGATGGCTGGAGGTCCCCCAGGTCTGGACGGAAGGGACGGTCTGCCAGGAGAGCCTGGACTGGACGGAATCCCAGGACGGAATGGCCTGGACGGAATACCGGGGACGAACGGGATGCCGGGGCTGGACGGAATGCCTGGCAAAGACGGGCGGGACGGAAAAGACGGTAGGAACTGGAAAACTTGTCCAGTATTATGGATTTATTTTGTTTAGCATAACTCAACTTCATTAAATCCAACGGAGCTTGCTTTTATTTAGTCCAGCGGCGCTCGTTTTTATTTCATCCATCTCAGCTCACTTTTTATATATATATCATTTTAGTCCAGCTCACTTTTTTGATCAAGCAGATCTCACTTTTGTTTAGTCAAGCCGAGCTCACTTTTAATTGATTAGATCCAGCCAAACTTACTTTTGTTTGGTCCAGCTCACTTCTATTCATTGTACATATATTTATTCAGTAGACTTCAACTTATCGCACATATATATAGAAGTTTTAAAAATGTCACATCGGTTAATTCTGTTGAATTTCCAGCTCGGCGACGCGTACGTATTAACAAATCCTAAATTATCCCAAAAACCATCAAGCTTGGTAAATCGCTTTCGACTAAATCTTGGATTAGAAGTAAAGAACTTATAAATAAGCTTGGAATAAGGCAAATAACTTTTTAATACTCATTAGTATTGATAAATAAGTACCAAAGAAATCGTAAGTATGACTATTTAACTTCCAAGAAATCAAAAAATTGGACTTAAAAATCATAAATAAATAGTATGAAGTGATAAATGACTTTCGAATGAATCGTGAATATGGGAAAATAATGCCTGAAGAAATTCAAAGTTTACTAAATTAAATCTCACATAAATCGTGTGTATGAGTAAACAACTTCCAATGAGTGTTTCAATAAAAATTTCCCTGTGCTTAGCAAAATTCTTTAATGAAATCAAATGAAATTCACATCGAAATAATACAATAATTTTTACGAAATTTAACAATTTTCTACTGCGATATCCCGGGCAGGAATGAAAGGCAGTAAAGGCAGTGCTGGGGAGATCGGCCCCGTTGGACCGCCAGGTAAGAAATTCTGTAATTGAAATTTTTACGTTATTTTAATCATATAAGAAATCATGTAAAATTTTTAAAAAATTCTACACAATTTGCAGCCACTTGTAATTTTTAAGATGGAAAATGTTCTCTTCAATAATTCACCGACAAAATTTTTGTGCACCATGAGTTTTATATAAAAAATCATAGTCAAATTTCTAAAATTTTTTATAAAATTAATTGACTCTCATAATTTTCAGGATAAAAACTTTCTGATGAACAATATTCTAGTGGATGATAAAACAAAACAATTTCCAGTAAGCGTTTAGGGAATCAAACCAACTTTCATAAAATTCTTTCTAAAATTTGACAAAGAAATTAGTCACTTAAACGACAATTTTTTAACTTATAGGCTCATTTTGATTTAATTGTGATATACTTTATCGTGTATATTCCAATTCTTCTCTCTGCAATTATGATCTGAATCGATAAAATTTTTATAAAATCAATAAAAAGTTTTAAATTATAATTTTTGTAGCCTTTTTTCACATATTTCTACTGTAAACCCACTGAATTTTACAGAACGTTTGCATTTAAACCACTTTCACAATATTTTCCTAAAATCAATCACATAAATTAGCTAAGTTAATATGAAAGTCTACAATTATTTCATCATCACTTATTTCAATAATTATCACTTCCAAATGTTTAAGCAGAAAATTTGTGGCATTAGACCAATTTTCATTTCATTTTTATTTGCATTCAATTGATAAACAATAAATAAATAATATTGGAAATAACTAAAAATAATCGAGTAAATAATCGATGAATAATATTTGATCGAAATTCACTGAATATTCGATAAAAACTATAATAATGGATCAATATTCAACAATAATCACTGGATTATCGAAGAATACAACATAATAATCGACTTTGACTGCATTATTGTTCTGTGTGCTGCCGTCCCAGGCATGACCGGCCCGCGGGGACGTCGGGGACAGGATGGGGACCCGGGCAGTCCCGGCGCCCCGGGCATCAGCACGTGGCGGGTCAACGGGACCGCGGTCCGGGACCTGCTCATACCACCCTCTATACCAGGTCATACCACCCTCCATGCCAGGTCATACCGCCCTCTATACCAGGTCATACCGCCCTCTATACCAGGTCATACCACCCTCTACACCAGGTCATACCACCCTCTATACCAGGTCATACCGCCCTCTATACCAGGTCATACCACCCTCTATACCAGGTCATACCACCCTCTATACCAGGTCATACCGCCCTCTATACCAGGTCATACCACCCTCTATACCAGGTCATACCACCCTCTATAAAAGGTCATACCGCCCTCTATACCAGGTCTTACCTCCCTCTATATCAGGTCATACCGCCCTCTATAGCAGGTCATACCACCCTCTATATCAGGTCATACCTCCCTCTATACCAGGTCATGCCCCTCTATACCAGGTCATACCGCCCTCTATGCCAGGTCATACCACCCTCTATATCAGGTCATACCGCCCTCTATACCAGGTCATACCGCCCTCTATACCAGATCACGCCACCCTCTATATCAGGTCATACATTATGCCATATCATGCCACATTTTACCATGTCATGCTACATTATTCAATCTCATGTCACTTTAAAACATGTGATGCCACATTATATCTTGTCATTTCCACAATATATCCTATCATGCCTCGTTTTACAAGTCATGCCACATCATACCATGTCGTGCCTTGTTTTACATCATATCATGCCACAATATACCATGTCATGCCACCCAAATGTAGATGGCGCTCTTCGCCTCATTTCCGCTGCTCTTCCATGACGGCGCTGGTTCATCACTTGACTTCTTCCTATCATGCCACCAATAATAATGAAAATAACTATACAAATGATAATAAACAAAAATAATAATGTAAATAATTATACAAATGATAATAAAATGAAAATAAAAATAATTATACAAATTATAATAAACATAAAAATAATAATGGAAATAATTATCCAAATGATAATAAAAATAAAAATAACTATACAAATGATAATAAACATAAAAATACAGAAAAATAAATACGTGCTACGGTGCTAGCGCCATTCCAGAGGCTTATGACTGTGATTGCTATATTTTTCTATCATATCTTCACTTCTGGGAAAATTTATATAGTCCCTTGATTCAAATAAAATCTTAAATGAGAACCAAAAAAAATTAATAGTGGCTAAAAGAATTGTATTTTTTTTCGCGCAGGCTACAGCCGCGCCGACGACCCGGCGGTGGTGCGCGAGGGCGACCACGTGCGTCTGCGCTGCACCGCCGCCGGCCACCCGCCACCCAAGGTGGTGTGGCGGCGGGAGGATGGCGGGGCCATCCCGACAGGGCGGTGGAAAGGTGGGGATCTGGGTTGGCGGGGCCATCCCGACAGGGCGATGGAAAGGTAGGGATCTGGGTTGGCGGGAACGTCCCAGGTGGAAAGGTAGGGATCTGGGTTGGCGGGAACGTCCCGACAGGGCGGTGGAAAGGTAGGGATCTGGGTTGGCGGGAACGTCCCGACAGGGCGGTGGAAAGGTGGGGATCTGGGTTGGCGGGGCCATCCCGACAGGGCGATGGAAAGGTAGGGATCTGGGTTGGTGGGACCGTCCCGACAGGGTGGTGGAAAGGTAGGGATCTGGGTCGGCGGGACCGTCCCGACAAGGCGGTGGAAAGGTAGGGATCTGGGTTGGTGGGACCGTCCCGACAGGGTGGTGGAAATGTGAGGAACTGTGGTGGTGGTTTGTTGGTGGGGAATTGGAGTGTAAACAATTTGTAATTTTCTTCTAATTTGTTAAATTACAAATTTTACTGCAAGATTATGGAAACTTTTTTAGAAGATCCTGGCTTGTACAAGAATTAGTGATTATATGGTTTATTGCATTCCTTTAAAGAAGTTTGGCCGTGTTGAACTCGACATAATTCATACATTCTTCTTAGTATCCTCTTGCATTAGTTATTGATCTACCACTCAACTCTCTAGCATGTAATGGACTTATTTCATTTCCTTTAGTAAATGAAAAATATAAGCAAATTAGTTTTTCGCTGCTTTTATCCAACAAAGGTGAAATTGTCACACAATTGAAACTTTTCTTTTTTTACTACATTTTACTTTCTTCTTTCTTTAGTGTCACAAGAAGTTAAATAATGTTGTTTGCACTGAGCAGGTAACAATTTCAATACCGTGCTTCCACGAAAAATGTTTTGTTGCGAGTAAATAAATTACATCTATTTATTATAATAGATGTAATGGATGTAATGTAATATGTATAATATAGATGTAATATATGTATATATATTATAAATTACATCTATTTAATCTATACACGAAGGTTGCGTTACCTCGTCCTAACAAAAAGTTTCTCACGCGTGTCTGTTTTATAAGCGAAGCAACTATTTAGTTTTTAATTTCATTCTCATTAAATTTGTACCGAGCCCTACCTATCTCAAAAACTCACATTCTTTGCAATATTTAGCTTGCCCTGCAATTAGGCGCTTCAATTAATGCTAATTGGACTATTTCTGTGACGCGAAATTACCCTCAACAATTCAGTAAAATTGACAGGCAGCAACTCCAGGTAAAATATTATACATTACAGATGAAAAAATAGCAGGGATTCTGCTCAAAATGGCACGTGTGGGATCCATTATTTATTTTAATTTCCTCGAGTGCGTAATCGACTGCAATTATTTCAAATAACTTGATGTCATTTTATCACTTCAAGAATTCTTTCTGTAAAGCACCAATGCACCAGAGCTTTCAAAAGTTTTAAACTCTTTCTTTACCACAATTCATTAATGAAAGTGAGCAGAATTTGAATAAACTTTAAATACTATAAAAAATTGTCTATCTGTAGTGCGCATTTAACTAATAACATCTAAGTATAAATATAATTCATGTACTTTAAAGAATCTAATATGTGTAGTTTACATCTCATCAATAAAATCAATCATATAAAGTTATAAAGTTAAAATATATTGTATATTGTAAAGTTCAAATACTCTAAAGAATCGTCCATTTGTAGAACGCATTACATCAATAATATCAATCAAAGTTTGAATAGATTTCGTGTACCCTAACGGATCGTTCATTTACTGTACGCATTTCATCAATAATTTTAATAAAAGTTTTTATATAATTCTATCTCTCAAATTTGAATTATTTGAAAATTTATTTATAACCCGTATTCTCGCTTTATAACCCTATTTATCCACCACGACTTTACTCACATTGCACAGATGCGTCAGTGGAAGGTTCAGTGATGAACTTGACTCACGTGAGACGTGACCACGCGGGACGCTATCGCTGCGAGGCCTTCAATGGAGTCCCACCGGATGCCTACAGAACTTATCACCTACTCGTTCAGTGTGAGTAGAAATTATAGATAATATTGCCTACTTTTGAAATTAGAGTGATGAATCAAGGGGTTATATATCAGTCAACAAGGTTATTAGAAATGATCTTCATAATACTGAACAACAAGCCCTCAGCGCGCTATATATGATCGGTAACTTTTCAAGCACTTATTACCAAACGTCCAATGATTCATCCATTAATCATAAATAATTGCTATCAATATATGACTATATATTTTATCAAAACTAGACATTACACCACCCCCACATAATTTGAATATTTAGATAGGTTGATATCTAACTTACTATACTAAACATATAGTATTATTCTAATATAATATACATAAATATACTAAATACATAGTGTTATATTAATATAATATGCATAACTATATTAAATGTATAGTGTTATATTAATATAATATACATAACAATCCTAAACATATAGTATTACACTAATATAATATGCATAGCTATACAAAATATACAATATTATACTAATATAATATACCTACATAACTATCCTAAATATACAGTATTATACTAATATAATATACATAACTATCCTTAATATACAGTATTATACTAATGTAATATACTTAACTATACGAAATATATAGTGTTATATAACATAATATACATAACTATCCTAAATACATAGTATTATACTAATATAATATACACAACTATAGTAAATATATAGTATTATGCTAATATATTATACATAACAATCCTAAATATATAAATATTATACTAATATGATATGCATAACTATCCAAAATATATAAGTATTATACCAATATGATATACATAACTATCCTCAATACATAATACTATACTAATATAATGTAAATAACTATACTAAATATATAGTGTTATACTAATATAATATACACAACTATACTATATTATTTTATTATTATAATATACACAACTATACTATATTATTATATTCATATAATATACACAACTATACTATATATTATATTAAAATAATATACACAACTAAATATATATCCTGCATATCACGCCCCAGTCGAGCCGTACCTGAAGGTGAAGGAGTGGAAGGTGGGGAGCCACAACGGCTCGTCGGCGCGGCTCGAGTGTCTCGTGGAGGCGCACCCGCTCGCCGAGACGCACTGGGAGGACAGGCTCGGGCGAGCCGTCGAGACCACCGACAGGATCGTCGTGAGATACGAGCCCGACCGACACGTCGAGTGGCGGGTGAGGGGGGCGAGTGGCGGGTGAGGGGCGCGAGTGGCGGGTGAGTGGAGCGAGTGGCGGGTGAAGGGGGGCGAGTACCGGGTGAGGGGGCGAGTGGCGGGTGAGAAGGGAAGGGTGGCGGGTGAGGAGACGAGTGGCCTTTGATAGGGGACGAATGACGAATGAAACCGAACAATTGGCGGGTGAGACCGAACGAGTGGCGGAGAAATGTGGAGAGTGGCTGTTGGGAGGAAATTAGTGGCGGTGAAACGTGGAGAGTGGCGGGTGAGGCGCGACGAGTGGCGGGCACTTAACAATTAACAAAGCTAATAACTTGCACCGCCGTCTCAGGCTTTTGATTCTCACAGTGAAAAATATCGTTTAAAAATTGATCGTTTTGAGATTACGTATATTTTCTTGCCATTATTCATTAAAATTCATCTTTAATTCCATTTTCAATTATTTGTATGTGTCTCAATATTTTTTTTAGTTCATTTCTGTTATTATCGTATCATACAATTTATAAGTTAATCTGTATTATTCAGTCTAGCAACCCGGTTGTTGATAATTGTAATCAAATAAATAAAAGACGTTGTTCAAATCGCGATGCACGTTTTGCGCTTCTGTGAGTCATCAGTACTTGGTCCGGCAAAAGGGTATTTCTGTCCTCTCTCTGCTCATGCTGTGGGTAAAAAAGTGTGTCACTACTTGAACAATATAATCCATCTATTTTTCCGAGTGTATATTTTTTGCATCAATGGAGGTTGTTGTCTCTAATGGACAGCGAAGGCTGATAATGGAAGAATATCACCTCCATTATACCAGGTATTAGGCGGCCATCAGCGACGCGTCTTGCCTCGTTGTTCTCCTCCGTCAAATGCAAAACATTTTCCGGATTTTTTTTCCGACAATTTCTTACAATTTTATTCAAAATATTTTCAGCTGAAGTTAAAAGTTGCATATGTAATGAGAAAGTAATGCAAATTGCAACTCAAATTTTACTCCGTGTTTAAACACTACATTTCCTTTTCAGTGTAGAAAAAGGGTGTGACATAATAGCTTAATCCTGATTAATTTGTGGCAATATGTAAATAAATTTTTAGTTTTTCACGTATTTAATAAATTAATTTCTAACAATAAATTAATATATTTCACTAATAATTTGTAACATTTTCAAGGCGTTTACAAAATGATGATGAAGTAGAAGCTACCCGTAATAATTAATACCAAATGGAAAGGGGCTTGGGAAATAAATAGGAACCAAAATTCATCAATATTGATGCTAATTGAAGCCATATTTTTTCAGCCTTTGACAAAAAAATTGAAAGAAGAATTAGTATTGAAATAAACAATGATTATTCATTACTATTGAGTACGTGAACAAAATGAGGCATTAATTACTAGTATTCTGATAACTATACATTTTTTGCGTGTCGCAGCTTCGAGTATTCAGAGAAGTAAAAATTGTGTTATTGACAATTATAACATATATGAGAAAAAATTTATAATTTACGCATTGTTAAATTTCCTAGAATAAAATATTGGTTGATTGGAGATCAGCCCGAAAAAAAACATCTAAGACATTAACATCAAAATTGATACTGTATGTAACAAAGAAGAATTTTCTTCATGCATCATATCCTGTACGCCATAAATTCTCCTGGCAAAATAGCTTATGGCAATAAAAAATGTGAAGAAATTATTTTTAGATATTTTCATTCATACTTGTTTTTTATACAGCCTATTCGTAATTTTATTTATTGGATAGAATAAATGGGCAATATAGCGTAATATTTTCACGCTACCTATGTCATTTATATCAGCTTCAAATTTATTATTATTGTTCTATTCAATCCTGAATGTATTTATTAAATGAATTTGGTTGAACGGGCAAAAAAGACGTTACATTTTCAGACATGTCAAGATTTTCTCACTCCTCGAATCTTATTGCTTTATTGTTTATTTAATTTACCCGCTAATATTATCAATTAGCAAAATCATTGTTACTCATTATCATTAATCATACTGAAATTCAGTAGGATGCACAATTAAAACATTATATTTTTACCATTTTCAGGGCCTGATGACGCTGATAGTGACGGACCTTCAGCCTTCAGACTTCGGCGACTATCACTGCATCGCCAGGAACTCTCTGGCCATCACGCGTGGCCTTGTCAGCATCTACGGTCTGTCCTTCAGTGTATTGTATATTTTTATTTTTCCAAAGTCATAAAATATATATATTTCATAATACAGCTCCTAATATATATATCTTATAATACGAGCAATAATTATATACTTTATCCATCACGCAGAGCCTTGTCGGCATTTACGGTCTATCCTGCAGTGCATCGTCCGTTGCTTATCTGTTCCCTAAAAATTTATACTAATAATGATTTATATAGTAATTTGCTTTTATCATTCGTAGCACCACACTGTTGTAATACTAAGTTTTTCATTCACGAATTATTTAGTACTCCCTTTCGTCACCCTAAATTATTCATCATGTAGTTATGCTTCAGGTTATTAAATTTTAAGTTAATATTTTAAAACTTAAGTTAGGAAGTTAAAAGGTGAGTTGAAAAGGTAAAATTTGAATAAAATCGCTAAAATTTAGGTAAAATAGTCAAAATCTAAGTAAAATAGTTAAAACAGAATTGTAAACGTTGAAACTTGAGTTAAAATGTCAAAACTTAAGCTAAAAAATAAAGGTAAGTTACTATTCATATCACAGCATTTTTCATTCATTCATGAGCAAGTGCTACGTTAATTATATTTTGATGACTGCATTCACTCCAATTAATTAAATTATAGTTTATTGTCAAGCATCGACACGCAGTGCCGTTATTAAACTCAGGAAATTGGTAGGTCATATCATCCAAATTGTGATACTTTTTTTGCGGGTAGAAAGTGAGTCAATATTTGGACAAACTCTCGCCCGTTTCTTTCAGTGTATCACGTCGACGCTGCCCAATGAATGCAAATAGAAAATAAATGTCATTAATTAGCCTAATCTGCGATCGAATTGATATGATTTAGGGGATCCATATTACTGGAGATAATAATGATAATTGAGGTTTTATGCTCATTAAAACATTATTGCCTTAGTTACAGGATAAATGAAGCTACGAAATCGCAATAAAAACAATCTAGCTTTAATTTACATTAGTTTATTGATAGGTCAAGATAACACAAGATACACAATTGTTGTATCTTTCTGATGCAATTATTGAAAATAATCGAGGAAATCATTACCACTCATTATTGTCGTTAATCAAAAGGGTCTAATGATGTAAATATTTTCAACGATTAAAATATTTAAAGCGATTGCAATCATAAAAACCTAAGTGCATTTGTTGGTCCTGCCTTCATCATGGACATAAAAATGTGCTTCCAGCTACACGTAGGTTACTGGACCCGGATCCCTGGTTGCACTTAGGATCCGGGTTGCACGTAGGGTGTCTGTTACACGTAGGATCAAGATTGCACGTGAGGTTCCAACTGCACGTAGGGTCCCAACTGCTCGTAGGTCCACCTGCAACAGAGTTGCCAGATGGTCTTTTTTCCGGACAAATACCGCGATTTAGTTTTTTTCAGTTGCGTAGGCCGGCTTAAAATTTATGATGGCGGTACGTAAGTATTAGATTATAGATGTGCGAAAAAAAATGAAAATGAAATTTTTACACAGGAAGCTTTAAATCTACTAGTATATATTGAATTAAATGCCTTTTTGGCCTTTTTTCCACGAACTTGACCGTTTTTACTACATCTGGCAACCCTAACCTGCATTATTCCTTCCTATCCGTCCTACAGAAATAGGGTCCCGGAATCACGTGTTGGCCCCAGGGACCACATCTGGCATCACTTACGGACCCGACCCGCCGGAATACTCGGAGCTTTTCAACGACCTGTGCCCACCCCCCACCGTGTGCCCCACGTGCCCCAGGGCCCCATCGGGCCAGGCTGGGGGCCAACAGCAATGCCTCGACATCGGCCAGTTCGCTGGGCGCACCTACGAAGGATTCCAGAACAGGAGCCAAGGTGAGGCTTTATTTGTTATTTCGTAGTCTGCTATGAAATTAAAATATGATGCAAGTATCTATACAGCTAGTCCTTATAAATTCTTGAAAAAAGGATGCTTATCTGCATCTATGAATGATTTCAAAACAGGAGCCAAGGTGAGACTTTATCTATAATTTTCGTAGTCTGTTATTAAATTAAAATATGATGCAAGTATCTATACAACTAGTCCCTTTAAATTCTTTGAAATCAGGATGCTTACCTGCATCTAAGAAAGATTTCAAAACAGTAGTCGAAATGGGGATAAATCTGAAATTTTTGCCATCTGTTTACATCCAAAATTAGGACTTCAAATTGTTTATGGCGGAACTGGTCTCAGAATCTGTTTCGATTATGTCATAGCGAATTTCCTTGTCATTTTTTTTTCTTTTTGAATTTAAAAATATATTTATGCCTGTTTGCGAATATGAATTTAACAAATCAGAAGTCATGGTGAAACTTTACCCGAAATTTTTATCAGCTGTCAATAAATTAAAATAGGATGCCTAAAAGGTTCCAAACAATAAACTTTATTTTGGTCTAACGAATGGCAAAAAGTACTTAGTCTACAGGCTTTTCACAAGATCTGGCATCGATATTGAATATTTTCACCAACAACAAATTACTAAATCTTTATTTAGACCTACTTTAACATTAAAAGACTTGCTATTAAGAAGACTTTTTAAGACTTACTATAAAGACTTACTATTCAGACTTTCTATTAAGACTTACTATTAGGACTTACTATTAACAATAAAATATATTATTTACTTACTTTAAATTAATAAGGCTTACCATTAACATTAAATAAATTATTTACTTACTTTAATTTAACAATATTTTCCCCCAGAATGCCAAGTGTCAGCCGTAGGCAAGCCCGTATTCCACCGCCACACGAACGCGTCCCACGGTGCGTGGATGCAGGAGGCCTGGGCGGCCGACCCTTCGTCCCAGAACACACCTCGCTTCTACACCACCGACCCCGCCCACCCCGCCAGCCTTCTCGAGTTTACTGATAAGGATAACTTCAGGATGAACTTGTACCACAAGAACCACACGCTGCCCTACCACTTCACGGTGAGAACCACACGCTGCCTTACCACTTCACGGTGAGAACCACACGCTGCCTTACCACTTCACGGAGAGAACCACACGCTGCCTTACCACTTCACGGTGAGAACCACACGCTGCCTTACCACTTCACGGAGAGAATCACACGCTGCCCTACCACTTCACGGTGAGTTCTGGAGACAACTTCAGGATGAACTTGTACCAAAAGAACCACACGCTGCCCTACCACTTCACGGTGAGTTCTATTTTGGTGCGTATTAATACGATTAATTTATATCAGGTCACAGTGCATAAATCACCTAGGCGGAGTGGAAAGTTCTATGTATAGAATTAAAAGTATTATTATTATATTATTTCTTCGTACGAGCTTTCTCTTCCGGTTATTAATTTACGGCTTGTTATTGTTACAGTAACGAATCAAATAATATCCTATTTTTTCACAAGTATGCATTAAATATTTAAAATGGAAATATATTCACAAACAATTGCCGGCCTTTAAATGTGTACTCATCCAATTATTCATGTTGTTGCGTATATAATTTTCAATTCAATAATATTTTTGAATCACTCATATATTTCCGTTCACTCATATGTCCGAATATGGCCTCCAGCTCATATGAAATAATACTAATAAATAATAATGCCGAGGAAAGCCTCAAAAAATGCAATCGCAATTCACTTGTCAAATAATCAATTATGATTTCAGGCAAATATCTCGTTAAATAATCAATTACATCAACCAAAAACCTTAATGCATAATGAAAAAATATTCAATAAAATACTATTTCAATGTCACTTGTTATTTCATGTAACTTGGCTGAGCTTACAGCAGCACGTGTCAAGCGTCAATTGGCAAACCAGAAAAATCATGGATTTTAATTGCGATAAAATTTCCAATTAAGCAAAAATATTCAATCAATCGCGCTACAAATTTATGCGCTAATTTTATTGTTTATTTATTAATTGAATTAGGGCCGCTTGGATATCACATATTTTATAATGGTATCAAGTGAATATAAAATAAATATATAAATCTGAAATATTTAGACCTGTTGAGCAATACTTGGTACATCATTAGAGTAGAACAAAAAGATCTGTTAATAATGAACTTTTTTAAAACATGACCGGGATAAAAGAAAAATTGTCGTTAAATTGAGCATTTTTTTATGCTTTTTATTTACTTGACGAGGTTTCGTTTTCAGCTTCTTGTAGTGGAGCCATTCGCTTTTATTACACCGAGACTTGCAAATTTTAAATATCTTAATTCCCCTTCTATGTTAACATAAATTTGAAGTCTAATGCAGAAAAAGTGTTCTGAAAATTTACTAAATTTTAATTTTATTCAATTAAAATTTGATCCTAAGGGGTTGGCTTATTTTTTCCTGCAATTTAAAAGCGTAAATAATTATATAGAGCTTCTGAATTTTCCTCTTCATATCGACGTCTTTCACTTCACGTCGTGCAGTTTCATTGCTATCAAACGTCGCTTTAACGTACCTGTCGAAGACACGTTGACTTTAAGTTGAAAGCACAACAACATCACGTTGATTTTACGTTGAAAGCACAACAACATCACGTTGATTTTACGTTGGAAGCACAACAACATCACGTTGATTTTACGTTGAAAACACAACAACATCACGTTGATTTTACGTTGAAAGCACAACAACATCACGTTGATTTTACGCTGAAAGCACAACATCATCGCGTTGATTTTACGTTGAACGCACAACATTGCCATGTTACTGCAACATCCGCTCAGCTCCTTCATTTCCTGGCCGTGACTAACGCTGCTCATTTGTTGGTTTTCAGGGCAGTTCCCACGTGGTCTACAACCAAACTTTTTTCTACCACCAACGCAACTCGTCCAACTTGGTGCGCTACGAGCTGCAGTCGGGCGTTGCCATGAAGTTAGAGTTGCCACAACTCTCCGCCAACTCCAACCATTTCCTTTACTCACACAGCAAAGATAACCTGGACCTGAGTGCTGATGAGAACGGTCTGTGGGCCGTATATGGCCTTAACAACAACACTATTGTCGCCAAAATACACCCCAGGACACTAAAGGTAAATTTTATCCTCTCTCTTCCATGAGAGAGAGGAAAAAACTGAGGAAATTCTTCAAATTTTATTTCATTTTATTTGCTTAGCCATTGTTTTTTATAATAATTGTAGATTATGAGTACTTGCACTGAACTGTAGATGATTTAGTGATACATAACGAGTATCATTTGTTAAATCAAGCTTGGATATTTAAGTAGCTTAATTGATTGCACGTAAATATTGTTAAAAATATCGATTGGTGAACACAATGTAAGTAAAAAACATGAAATTCATACTTGAATTGTAATGTAACTTGTTTTCTCAATTATTACTCATATGAAGGCTGTTCTCTATTGCTGTTCCCACAGATCGAGTACAGCTGGAACATTTCCCTGAACCACCACAAGTTCGGCGAAATGTTCGTCACGTGCGGCGTCCTGTACGGCATCGACAGCGCTTCCGAGAGGGAGACTAAAATAAGGTGACGTATTACAATATCATAAGGCCTTATATTCGAGAAAATATACCAAATTTTAGTAAACATAACTGTGAATCATAAATTATATTATAATAAGCTATATTATTTAATATATACAATATTCTAAAAACCTATGTTATGTAGTATATTAAATAATGTAATAGCCTCTAATACATAATACAGTATGTACTGTATTCTAATAACCTCATTAGAATCCCTTTTTCGTACCTGCGTAAGAAGCCATAAATTTCCAAATTTATACATATGTGCATTATGATCTACGGCCATAAATGAAATATTTTATGATAAGTAATGATTATTTTCCTGCAGTCAAAACGGTTAATTTCATAAAAGGTTTTTTTCTTTTTTCATTGCAGGCTTGCGTTCGATTTGTTCACACAGACTTTAATTGAGGTTGACATCGCCTTCACTAACCCATTCCAGCACACCACCATGCTCAGCTACAACCCCCTCACCAAGGTTGGTGCTAAAATTATTTTAATAGTTATATATGTTAAAGTTATTCGCTTGATAAGTCAAAATGTTAGTTTTATCCGTGAACTCCTCTCCTGTGACTGAATTCCCTTCTACCGGCTGTCTAACTTAGAATTCTAATAATATAAAAAAAAAATAATTTTTATTGGGTGCCAAAAATCTAAATACAGAATTTGTTCCCGTGACCTGCATTACAAATCTGATTTAACGTGACTTGCTGGAATTTTTCAAGGAGTTTTAGTGAATATAATTAAAGTCGACCTGAATTCTTTGAAAATCAACGGTGTTCACTTACATTGTAGTTACGATGAAATGCGCGCTGAAAATCACTTAATATACAGCTCAGCTAAAAAATAACATGATAAAAAAATGAAACATGAACGCTTGACAATTCTAAACAATTTCCTGAGCAACAATCAAATTTTATAAATATTACACCTCATTTTCTTTTGTCGGCATTAGTCGCCTCTACCCTTTAATTTCTATAACAGACAAAATATTTTTAACTTCATTGTTCACTTTAACCAAATCTGTCGACTTGGTTGAGGGAAATGATCGAGAATTAAAGGGAAGAAAAAAGGTCAAGGGTTGGAGTGAGGGGAAAGAGATAAGAGTTGATGAGAGGGCTGAGAGTTGGAATGAAGAGATAAGGTCGAGGTCGAGAGTTGAAATGAAAAAGGGTTGATGTACGTAGTAAAGAAAAAAGATCCAGTGCTAAAATGAAGGGAAAAGGTATGGAGGTTAAATTAATTTGAATGATTTGAAGTCAATAATATTGAAAAGAAGTTTTGTAGATAGAATAATTATGTAGGATCTTCATCCATTAACGAATATAAATACTTTATCTCTTTGCTTGACGAGGTTTTATGTCAAGTATTTCGTACATATGTTTTGTTTGCTATTGGGCGTAACTGTAAGGGGTATAAATCTTTTGAGTATTACTTAATAATAGTTCTTATTATTATTAATAATTTACTGGTTACTGCCTGGCTGCAACGTCGCGTTTAAAGTCATTAATTCCGAAAACAAATTCTCAGATAATGTACGTAAATGTGAGAATCTGACCGCTGTGTGACCAGAATAGACATGTACTTTAATTAGATGTCATCGTCCATGTTACGGGGACAAAGGCATTTTTTGTGAAATATTTATTACATTATATTTAAATATTTCCGCTTTTTTACCATGCAACCTGGGAACTATTAAAATTAATACTTTATACAATTGTAAGGCTAGTGTTAATAATTTTTTATTGCAGTGCTAGATACAAGATTGTAAAAAATTACAAAAAATTAATACATTCCAATGAGATTTCGCTGATTTAGTGTAATCAATTTAACTCGTGCTAGAAGTTCATATTTACTAAGGTCTATTGTTTTCCACTTGATAATTTTAGAAGCAAATAAATCGAATTAATCGATTAAAACTGAATGATTATTCTCATTTATGGAAATATATTCATACCATTATAAAATGATTGTCATTATTTTCCACAGTTATTGCAACTTAGTTGATTTAAGCCTAATTTCGTCACGTAAACAATAAATAATAATTTTTAATGTTATGAATAAATATTAGTTTATTTCTTATTCACAGGAACTTTACTCATGGGATGCGGGCAACCAGTTAAGCTACCCAATCAAATACGCGGAGCACAAGCAAGGACCTTCTCCGACGAGGGCCAGAGGCCGAGTGCCATCTTTGCTAGGCTTAGGGTAGCGTTTTGCATAATCGAATTAAGTAATGAATGTGGCACGTATGTATAAACAATATCATTATTGTTCATAGCTGCAGTAAAGTAGTAGTGTTAGGAATTTTGCAACATTTTCAGATAAGACTGTATGTTGAACCCAAAAATTGAAATCAGGGTCGCTGACAGACGATAATTCGACTATGACTTATTATAATATGGTTGAGACTCCGTTGTGTCAATTAATAGTACCCGTTTACTAATCAAGTTTCGATATTAGAGATTAAATTAATCGATTTTAGTGTGAAGATATTACAGATAACCGCAGAAGTGTATAAGTGCGCATGTATATTTTGAAAATTGTAAAAACTCAAATGCGACAGACTGTCAACAATTTCTTTGTGAACTGGAAGGCTTTTTCGGAAGCCGTGCGAGTGCTTCACAAATTTGAATATATTTTTCGGCACACATCCCTAAAAATTAGCCGGCAGAGGACCTCAAGGACTTTCCATATTTGAACGTTAAATAACAGCGACCGTTAATTAGTTAATTAATTCATTTAACAATCGTCGATACTGACTTACAAAAGTATCAATAAACGGATATTTTTCAATAATATTATATTATAGTATTATTCTGAATTTTTCATCGAAATATAGAAAAAAATAATTGTGCTTATTTTTGCAGAAGACAATCATTTTTGCACTATAAAAAATGATGCTGTGTAAAGTCCAAAATAATTTGTTGTGCTTATTATGTTCTAATCTGAGAAAAAATGGCATAACTTTTTACAGTTGTGAGTTTTCGTATGAGTTATTTGCGATTTTTTGCAATTTTTAGTGTCACACTTCGTTGCCAAAATTCTAAGCGTTTTTCTCCAGTCCTGACTTCTTGAATTTTCTGATAATTTTCAACAATCAGTGACGTATTAATGGAAATCATGCGTTGTATTAAAACTAATCATGTTTTCACTTTATTAAAAATTATTCTGTTCCGCTCATAATTAATTTTTCCAATCCTTGCTACGTAGTTTTTAGACTCGAAAACCACTGCTGGGTTTTCCTAACACAAACCCTGCTCATGACGATCATTTTATCTCTAGACTAACCATCTCAGAAGACTAACCATCGCAGACGACTAACCAACGCAGAAGACTAACCATCGCAGACGACTAACCATCACAGAAGACTAACCATCGCAGAGAACTAACCATCACTGAACTGTACACTACCAGCAGGATTAGTTATTTCAATTATTTTGTGTCTGACAGAACATGAATTTTAGATAATCTCGTCTTGTGTTTGCAACCGAATAAAAATATAAAATAGATTTATATTCCATAAACATAGTTCGTTATGAAGCAGTGCAGAGCGAATAGAAAAATCTATAATTACGTTAAATTATATTTTAGGTGCAATATAAAATTATCCTTTTGCTTTAATAATAATAAAACAAGCATAATTGCCAATTACAGTCAAGACTGTGTAGCCTTTGTTGATTCATTAACATTTTCAAATACTTCCTCTGGTAGCGCATCAACATTGCGTTAAAGTTCCTTATTAAATAGCGCCCTCTTTTAATTGTAAAAAACTAATGAATCCAATGCTAGTTAACTGACAGTAAAAAGAAAATTATTATTTCTAGTTTATTCAAAGTCAACATTAATTTTGCCCCAATTAGTGAGAATTTTAGCGATATTTTTTCCAGTGTTACCTGTATTTTCGTACCTGCTTTATAGCGAACAATAATAAAAAGAAAACTCATTTTTTGGTCCAATTTATGCCAATTACGCTGCAATGTTAGTTGGAATTTATATTAAAAATTATTTTATTTGCATTTGTCCCTGTAGCCAACGTTGAAATTTTATCCTAAGTTTGTTTCTGATTCCATTTAAAATCTTTTAACGAACCTCGAAAATAATTTTGAAATGTATGCAAAAATATATCATAATGATACGATTAATATGAAATATTTTTGTTGTCAAGTGGCACAAATAACGAAGTAAATTATCAAATGACCTGTAGTGCATCCTACAACTTTAATTAATATTTTATTAAAGTAGATTAACATCAAATGTCATCGAGGCGAATCTCTCTAAATTTTCATTTGTAACTCAAATTTTAACCATTAAACTAATTGCCAGTTTAATTCCGAGGCGCTCGAGGATTGCACTTTACAAAATTAACGAGCGACATCTTACATTTTTTTCCTCTTTGCACCCCATGGATGCCGTTTTCAACAAAGTCTTCATCAAAAATTTAATTTCATTTAAACACGTGTGTTTAAAAGTAAACACACGAGCGTAGATACCTCCAACAACTGCAGTTTTTTCCTCTGACAATCCCATCAAGAAAATGTGAACTTTTCTCTTTTTATCAAATAATGTAATAAAATGGCATAACTTACAAAGAAATAATACTTAAGTAATAGGAACCGATAATACTTATTTTTTATTAGGAAGTGATTTGACTAAAATATCCTAGAGCGTACAATTTCCATGTTATTACTAGAATTAGCTCATTAGATACCATTGTTTTTAAATTGTACTTGTGCCATATAGTGGAATAAAATTTAATGTCGTTTTTGCTTTCGAATCTTTTCATGCCTCAAAATTTTTAGACAGTAGTCTCACGATTTATGACTAAACACTCCTCGGACCACTAGAATATTCATGGCTCAATTATGTATGAAAGACTGAATAAAGTTCATTTGACGTACACTTTAACTCGAATTCTTTGCTCAAGCCGGAAGACTTCCACAAAGTTTCAATGAGCAACAAGAATTTAATTAGAGGGCAGACTCGACCAACTGCTTACCATTGCTTCAATGTCGCTGCGCTAGTCACTGCCAAAATAGCGGAGCCTGAGTAGCCATGCTACAAAACTAGCGGAGCCTGAGTAGCCATGCTACAAAACTAGCGGAGCCTGAGTAGCCATGCTACAAAACTAGCGGAGCCTGAGTAGACATGCTACAAAACTAGCGGAGCCTGAGGAGACATGCTACCAAACTAGCAGGTAATGAATAGACATGCTACGAAAGTAGCGGAGCCTGAGTAGACATGCTACCAAACTAGCAGGTAATGAATAGGCATGCTACGAAACTTGCGGAGCCTGAGTAGACATGCTACCAAACTAGCAAATCCTGATTAGACATGCTACCAAACTAGCGGGTATTGATTAGACATGCCACCAAACTAGCGGATCTTAATTAGACATGCCACCAAACTAGCGGATCTTGATTAGACATGCTACCAAACTAGCAGATCTTGATTAGTCATGCTACCAAACTAGCGGATCTTGATCAGACATGCTACCAAACTAGTGGATCTTCATTAGACATTTACCAGAAAATTTCGCTGCTTCTGGTGGACTGAATAAGATTTTTTTTTTGTCAAGTATTTTTTTAGACTTTAATGCTCGCCGGGCATGAAGGGTTCACTCAAAGAAATGAGTATGACTTTGTGCAAATTATTATGCGCGTTGTGCCCTGCGTGGGTTATCCTGATCCAGTTTAGTACCACAAAATGAAGTATCAGGCCGCTCACTTCTCGGGCTGAGGGTGAATAGAGTGTCCTCATTTGGACAATTTTACCAATTCATTATTCTGAGTATTCGTTCACTGGCCTCTGCAGCTCGTGTGTCGTTCAAAAGCACGAGGCTTGAGTGGACAAAATGTTAGAGTTTTAATAGAATGATTTGAAGTTCATTCAAATGAAATGCCGAAAGTTGTGGGATGGAATATTCGAAATTTTGCTGCAGGAATAGCGTGAGTTCTATATTATTAGTACACGAGGTTTACGAAGCTCACTGCTGCCAGTGAAATTTTTATAGACCATCTTAATTAAATGACTTCAGTAGCGATTCTATAATTCGAAGTTCATTCCATTCGTATTCTAGCCTTCCAGCATCATAGTTGACGCTGGAAGTCTAGCCTTCCAAGCCTTCCATTTACTCAAAGGCCTTCCAACCTTCGAGTAAATAATTTTAAACTTAATTATACTAAATTGTAGGCTATAAGGAAAAATTGCCTATTTCGCTATTGAATTGAATTTTCCCAGGTCATTAATATAGAGCCAATATAATGCAAGTAAAATTAATTAAGATCTATTAGTGAATTATCACAAGTGTTCCGCTGGTCACGACAAGAATTGTTCAGGAAGAGAACTTGTCACGACAAGATCTGGTCGCGACAAGCACTGGTCACGATAAGAACTGGTCACAAGAGGAAATGGTCACGGCAAAAACTGGTCAAGACAAGAAATGGTCATGACGAGAACTGGTCACGACAAGAAATGTTCAAGACAAGAACTAGTCACGACAAGTACTTATCACGGCAAGAACTGGTCACGACAAGAACTGGTCACGACAGGAACTGGTCACGACAAGAACTGGTCACGACAGGAACTGGTCACAACAAGAAATGGTCACGGCAAAAACTGGTCAAGACAAGAAGTGGTCATGACGAGAACCGGTCACGACAAGAAATGTTCACGGCAAGAACTGGTCACGACAAGTACTGGTCACGGCAATAACTTGTCATGGCAAGAAATTGTCACGACAAGATCTCGCCACGATAACAAACTGTCACGAGAAGAACTGGTCGCGACAACAGCAGGTTCAATTATATTTTTTATATTATCTTGAAGCATACATATGTATAATATTGATGCAACTATAGGTCACGGAAATAAATCATATATCGAAAGATAACACCCGTATTTATATCATATATCGAAATGCCAGTCACGAATACACATTACGTTTCGAAATAAATATAACTTATATCAAAAAATATTACTAAATATTACTTTTTATATAAATAATCAAGCAATAATGTGATGCTGGGTTTAAGATGATATGTAATCCAGGAAAGCATAAACGGTTAACAGAAAAAACATATACATTGTACCCATAAACATCATGGGAGTTTTTAGAGCAATAATAAGGTTTTGTAAAGTGGAGATGTTCATAAGAATTCGTGAATGAAACTTTTTGCATGAAACTATTTTGCTGGTTAATTTTACTAAATATTTCTAAGATGCTGACAAAATTAGCTGACCAATGCTGCTGTTAATTTGAACTAATCTGGCAAATTATTCAATCGATACCTGGAGTGAAAGTCTACGGTGATTACGCCTGAAATTTAACTATCTCCGACATTACTACATGTAACGTAAACTACGCCTTAATTATATCATAGGGTTAACTCATTAGTTTATATTATTTTGTGGTCTTTGAGTTTATTCCTTGAACCTCAAGTGTAAATACGTTGAAAATAATCGAAACTCACTCTAACACACAAGTGAACAATTGATTGATAATTTTTTTACCCAAATAAGATTATAAAAATGCCAATTGGTAGAAATTTCGCTTCAGAAAAAAACGAATATTTTTGGTACTTTTCATTAAAGAAGATATATCTTGGAAATATATAAATAAATGAAATTTACTAATTACATAACAAATAACAACTAGATTGGAACAAAATGACTGATATATGAATTTGTTAATTGAATTGGTAGATTAGATCCAACATCAAGTGCATCAAACATCAAGTGCTGTCAGCATCAAGTGCATCCAACATCAATTGAATTCAACATCAAGTGAATCCAGCGTCAAGTTCATCCAATATCAAGTGCATCCAAC